TATGGCTTTTCATTTGCATCTCCATAAAGGAACATTTGACGGTATCGTATATACACAAGTTACGGAAACCACTAACATGATCATCATTACTATTATTACTATGATCAAGCGATATTTCAGTGAGCCAGTCTTATTGTACCCTTCATGTTGGGAAATCCCACTGAATATGTCATTTTGTGTGACCATTTTGAATGCAACTAATGGCGTTGAATTATTTGTGAGTTATAGAAACGATAAAAATAACAAAGATCACAACCAGCATTATAAGATCGAATGAACAAAACAATCTGTTTCGAAGCATAGAACATATTCAACACAAATAATATTATCAATAAATAAATGAACAACGAAGCAAAATGCAACAATTATTTATACATTAATCAATTTTTATCACTAACTCGATTACTGTTCTGCAAATAATATATAACTAATGCAATTCGACGATTCATAGCGATACTCTTGCAAATCTCGTTCATATTTTGCAATTATGTGATCAGATAGATAGATACCTTGATCAGGCTTGCAGTCATGATGCTTATGAATGGACATAGTCATCTAATCCCTTTCAGAAATTTTGGTTAGCCTATCAAGTAGTGTGNCGGTTTCTGAATCTGAGCTCAACCATTAACTATCACGTTTGGCCAAGCGTCTACCATCATGTGTCCACGAAAACCACGAATTATGTCAGTAATTCGGCAGACAATAATAAAATTGCCAACTATCCAATAAAGTCAATGATCAGTGAATTTTGTCATTATGTCAATAATGCCAAATATCCAATAAGGATTGCAAGTTTTTCGCAGTGAATCGTCGCATCATACAGAGTAGGCATAAACAAATCAATAGCAATAATTTGAACACAATAAACGATTTGGAATCAATGATAATCGATTTATTACGATACATCAGCAGCATCTTAACAGAATATACAACGATAAGGGTTTGAGAACGAGCGAAATGATAACGAATAATCACTTTAAATGCGATCATTAAGAGCAAAACAGTCTGACCAAAGCGAATGCATAGACAAGTGCATCGGATTGCTTCACACTCTCGATTTTGTACGAGCGCAACTTCTTCGTATTTTATACGAATATTTCACATGAAGTGATCCCACTGGAGGTGCTTTTCGAGAGAGCAAAATTTGCACTTTTGAAGAATTTTTAATTTCGAAAGATTTGTGGAGAACCCAAAAAATTTCACAAAAATTTGCGTTCTTGGCTTTATTCAGCTGAAAATGGTAACGTTCAGTGTGAAGCAATTCTAATGACACTCATAAAAATTTAGTTGAGCACAAAAACAGAGCGGTCGAATTGTTGAATTAAGTTCAAAAACAATTTGAATCACAACGAAATATTCTTCACTTATCTACTTCAATGGATATCTTCATATTCAACCCTTTAGATGACAAGAAATTTGCACTAAATTCAATTCAAAATCAAATATACACGTAATAGTATCGTAAGCATACTCCAAATTTATTGTATTCATTAAAGTATCGCATTGCGTTTCACAGCTACACCAACAAAACTAACGTTAAATTTAGTGATGATTCAAAGAATTCTTGTAAAAATTCGCGAATTCGCAAAAGATCGTATGATCAATCAGAACAAGAAGGCGACGATAGGTCTGATGTATTAATCTGAGGTGAGAAATCCAATTCATTATCCATATTCACATTATAATGATGATTACTTGCTGACGATAGACCATAAGCGTTAATCACATCGTTCGATAGGTCCGTGTATGCTGGTGGCATCTTCAAATAAGAAGCAATTGAGATCGTTCATCTCACCTGAGATCATCAATTTGCAAATGGTACTCATTCTGTGATATTGCTAGTGTTGCGAGCTTGAGCCAGGCTATGATTTGGCTTGCATGTGACTATCTATTATCATTCATTCTGTGGTATTTTAATGATAAAATGTTTTAAGGACTCTTTCTTCTATAAATTTGTCAATATATTAAAGAAAGAATCACAGAGGTATTCACGCAAAATTATTGAAAAACAATCAATATGTTCACTTGAATTGGAACTGGAAACTAATTCAAAACTGTGTTTGCGGATGAATTTGAGACTATTTTTT